CCCTTGCTCCCTTGCTCCCTCCTTCTTTCTCTTGAATTTTTAACTTAAGTATAAAAAAGTAATTTTTTCTTGCTTGAAAGAAATTGAGATTAAATTCTAGGAGGGTCTCAGTGCTTTACTCTATGCCTGTAGGCTGCTCTACAATAAAAAAGGTCATGTGAAGATCGTTTTTTTTTAGGACAGGGTGAAGAGGATTAAATGAAAGTAAAATTGGGGGTGAGAAAGTATGTCAGATGGTGTCCTCCATCTTTGAGTCTGTGCTAAAAGTAGAGAGGAGTGGAGTGTGAACCTGATTCCAGAAGCCCAAATCATAGAAAGTAAAAGAGAGGTGACGGGTTATGCAGTTACCCCAAAAGAACTTGACCCTGGTGTGAGGCTGGGAAGGAAGGGGGACGGAGTTACTGGAACCCTTGTGGGTCCCAGCAGTTGGTGGCCACCTCCTCCTGTTCAGAAGGTCTGTGTTGGTTTCTTCCTCACTCAGTTGTCTGCTGTGGGAAAGTGTTTTTCAGCAGACTTTCCTGGTATCTGGGAGAAGCTTGTCTCTGGTCTGTTTACAGGCATGCAGACACATGTGCTATTTATTGATTCTTGACTTTTTAAAAAAATGGTACTTGGAATGGAACCTGGGGCCTTCACTGGGAGCTATGTCTTTGGGCCTTTTTTTAAAAAAAATTTTGAGACAGGGTTTCAGTAAGTCACTAACTTTCCTAGGTAGGCTAGGATCAAACTTGAGATCTTCTTCCCCAGCCTCCCATCGTGGTGGGATGAAAGGCCTGTGCCACCATGCCTGGCTTGACATAGTTTATATTGTTTTGGTTATTAAGCTTTATTTTAAGAAAAGAGAAATTTTGTTTCAAGTGCAGGAACTGTTGTACCAACTGAAATCATCACAATGGTATTAAAGAAACTTGAGTGATTATCTCCCAGGAGGCCCAGTTGTAGGACTCTCGGAATACCTTGAGAGCACTGTTAACCTACAATACTGTGTGTGCCTGTTACAGCCGTCTTAGAGTGCAGTTTAATGCTCGCTGTGGCTGTTAGCAGAAAAGATGATTATCTCAGTGCATTCGACCCCCATGAGCTTTCGTTTCTAGGTAATCATGATGTCTGGTAAATCAGCAGTGCATCCTTCTCTCTAGGGAGTAACCAAGCCTAGGGAGTTTTATGTAATTGGCTTAGTGTCTTCTATTTATGAGAATATTTAAAGATGGGCATTTAGGTTTTCTGATTTTATATGTAGGTCATGAACTTGCCACATGTGTTTGATTGAAGAGTAGCACTGTAGTCACTCCACATGGGCACTGACCTGAGCTTAGGTGGCTGTGTGTCTGGTGGCCGAGCTCTGGGGAGATGAAAGTGTGCCTGTCGTCAACTGGGTACCTCTTGGGTCAGTGTTGCCTGGTGTGAAATGAAGTATTTTCGTCTCAAGTTGCGGTGATAAGGAGACAAAATGACACCGAATAGTGAAGAATGCTCTATGTACATCATACAGGAATAATTCTTCAGTAGTTGTTTGATTAAGAAATGGTTTCATGGCCTGGGGATGTAGCTCAGTGGCACCCTGTCTGCCTTGCAAGCACAAGGTCCTGAGTTCGATCCCTGGTACTGCAAAAAAAAGGGGGGTCCCTTTCACTATAGTGGCATTGTTTTGTACCCCAAATTGACATAAGCTCTGAGAAAATAAATGTATGTACTGGAGAATCTCCTGAAATGATGATATAGTTTGGTTTTGGAACACTTTATTCTGACTTTAGAGCAATTTTTGGAAAAGTTGGTGTAATGAGTTAGTTTTAACATTGCCAATGTTTCAGCAAAATATTTTCCAAATGAATTTATGTAAATTTTTCTGCTTATGCAGAACTCAGTGTGATATTTTTAGCCACACTACCTAAGAAGCATCATTTTTCTACAGGAGCTAGTTACTAGGTGACCAGTGGTGCTATTTTGTAATCTCTCCAGTACTACAAATATAGAAGTAAACCAAATCTCTAAGCACAGTCTGGGCCTTCATCTTTCTCCTTGTAGGTCCTGGCAGCCATTCTGATCCTTTGAACCACCTAGGAGCCCTCGGGATCAGAAGCTTCTGACCTTGGGTGTGTAACTGAAGAGCTCAGGGTCATGTAGGCTGTCCTGCTTACGCATAGCCCTTCACGGCACTTTGCCAGTGTGTTCCAGTTATTTTTACCCAGAGGGTGTTTGGGTGATAAAGGTTGCAACTCTAGCGTTCTATTCTGAGTGTAGCTGATCTTCCTACCTTATGATTTTCTTGTGGTTTATTTTTCCAGCGTTTAGATGGCTCCATCAAGGGAGAAATCCGAAAACAAGCACTGGATCACTTCAACGCAGATGGGTCTGAGGTACACTATGCATGGCTTTGTTATTTGGCACCTTGGATTCTGTATCAACGGGGGAAAGTCTTTCCAGCTTAGTGTATTGCATTTAAGAAACATTTTTTGTAGTGCATTTCTGCTCTCCTGAAAAGAGAATGAGAAATGTATACTATGAAAAATGCCTATTTTGTCATCACTCCTTAAAATCCACATGCGTATTTGTTTAGCTCGACTGGTCTGACAGTCGACAATGACAATGACACTTCTCTAGTGGCTTCAAGATAAATTTGTAGGCTTAGAAGAAGAGGACTGGCCAGTAGGATTTATTTCTACATGTAGAGCAGAAAATCCTGATCTGTACTTTTTGATGATCATAGCTTAAACAGCAGGTGTCAAATTTGTGGGATTTCTGGAATTAAATAGTTTAATGTTCGTCCTCTGGTTAACATTTTAAAATTACTACATGTCCCATTTGGATTTGGCAATAAAAGTATTTTGTTTGGGATGTGTCTATATAGCGAAAGCAGTTACATTGTAGTTAGTGCACAACCAGTTATTAAATGACAGATTATGAGAAGAGTCGGGGGAAAAAGCCTTTGGGTAGTTAAACTACTTAGGGTAATTAAAACTATAGTAATTTGGACAGGTAAAGAAGCGTTGGAGAGAGACTAGAAGTAGAATAAAAAGTGTTTTGGAGAAACTTAAATTATGAAGCCTGGACTCCTCTTTTTCTTCTTTTTTAAAAAACAATAGATGCAGTATTCTTTCTGAAAGCTTAAAAGAAATCTTTTTTTTTTTTTTGAGACAGGGCTTCACTGTGTAGTTGAGGCTGGCCTTGAACTCACTATGTAGTGGCCTCAAACTCAGCGATCCTCCTGCCTCAGTCTCCCAAGTGCTGGAATTGCAGGCATGTGCCACCATGCCTGGCTAGTAATTCCGAATGTCTCTTGTATTACTGCAGAATGATGTGCCTTCTGCCTGTAGTTAAGCAGATAGTTCTAGTTAGACTAGTAGGTTCTCCCATGGCTGTGCATAAAGTAGAGCCTGTCTTTGGTATGAGGGTTTGTACAATTTTCCTTCTTGGTACTCTTCATTATCTTTCAGAGTTGCTAATGGGCATACAATAATTCTAATAATATTTAATATTTAATTTTAAAAAAGACTACAGAACCATTACTTCCTTATGTTTACCAAATTAGAATCATGCAACATATAGTTTTGTTATCTTTTATTCAAAAATTATTATACTTTGATCATTTTTTCCATGTCATTAAAGAATTACAAAATTTTAATTTTTGGTATTTCTTCATGTGTGTGCCTTATTTAGCCATTTTTCATTAGATGTAGTTAAAAGACAATGAGCGTTTAGAAAAGAATTTTGATAAATTTTGTTAAATTACTTTCCTGAAACAATATATATTCATATTGTTTTTGTACAAATACATTATCTTACTCTCAGCAATGTTTTCGTAATTTTTTAATCTTTGTCAGTTTGATCAAAGAAAATAATGCATTATAATTTATATCGTCTTTGACAAAATGACATTGTAAATTGCTTATATGATTATTCAGACACCAGATTTTACTTAACATTTACATATCTCATCCTAAACTGTCATCTTGTTTATTTTTCGGCTTTTCAGGAAAGTTCCCCTTAAGAGTCACTGTCTGTACCTAGTCACATCTGTTGATGATTTTTTATTGGAATTGTTTAAAGTTCTTGCAAGGCAGCTCTTTCCTTTTCTGTTTCTGTGGCCTGCTGCTGTTGAATGTGACTTGATTAGAATGTGGACACCTTTCCATGGATACAGGGTTAATTCCACCCATTTTTCAAGATGTTGTTGAGTGCTGCTTCTGTGCCCAGAAGGCATCAACTTTTGATATACATGATCAAGTTCCCTGGAAATGGAAATCTTCCTTGTTTTTTCTCCCTCGGCTCATACAGTTCAGCTTTCCTCCGTGCACATAGCTTTTGAGTGCTCAGATGTGGCAGGTACTCCATGCCTGCTCAGTCTTTGTTATCATTGCTCTGGAGACTGGAAGGTGTCAGTACTGGTCTGGGTCTTTCCCACACTCCGGTTTTCGTGCAGACCCTCTGAGGGTTTCCTTTTGCATGTTTTTTGCAGATTGAGGATCCTGTACTCCTCAGCGTTTTCAGTGTACGATCAGTTTATTGCAGTGTTTCTGTATTCCTTACCAGACTAACAAATAGATGAACATTTCTTAATACTAACTACCTTCTATGGCATAATCTACTTTTCCCCAGAAAATATATATCTGGGTAGCTTGTTGGAACAATTCCCAGTAATTGAATTTGCTTGGTTTGTTGTTTTGGATTTCTTTTATTTTTTAATTTTTTTTTGTTTTTGTTTTTGAGATAGGGTCTCACTTTGCAGTTTAAACTGGTCCTGAACTCACTGTATAGCCCACACTGGCCTTGAATTTGCAGTGATCCTCCTGCCTCAGCCTCTCGAGTGCTGGGATTACAGCTGTGCGCCACCATCCGCAGCTTGGTTTTTGGTTTACTTCTTAAATACTGTTTTTTTAGCCAGGAGATACTCCAGTTCCTCTCACTCCTGTTGTCTTACTAGCTACTACTTTACCCCGTTGTTTACTGTGCTGAGTCTTCCTCTTAATCAAATGAAAATTCCCTCTGCCGTCAAAGCCCTGACCTTCCATAGCCTTCGTAAAGTTTGTCCATCATATCTCACTTTTCTTCACACCTGCAGGGGTTTCCAGGTGTAAGGGCTAATTGGACTGTGAAACTGTTTCTGAGAAGGCCACTGCATAAAGTAGTATATTGCATTGTGTACAGGACTTCTGTTTCCTGCTCTCGACAAGGGCTGGTGGCCTGGGAATCAATTTGGCATCAGCGGACACAGTTGTCATCTTTGACTCTGACTGGAACCCCCAGAACGACTTGCAGGCACAAGCCCGGGCCCATAGAATTGGTCAGAAGAAGCAGGTTAGTAGGAAGAGGCTTTTGAATATGACTTTGCGTTTAGAGTAACGGGTTGATTCAGCCTTTCTGAATGTTTGTGAAATGCTTATCCCTGCCTCTCCCCACAGTTTTACCTCCATTTTCCCCAAGTGTTGATTTCTGTTTATTGCCTAGTACAGTACAGAGAAAATATCTTTGGGCCAAAGATGAGTCCAATAAAGACTTAAGAAAGATCTATGATCAGGCCTGGGATTTAGCTCAGTGGTGCCACCACCTGCCCTGCAAGTGCAAGGACCCGAGTTCAATCCCCAGTACCAAAAAAAAAGAGAAAGATCTATGATGAAGAGCCTTAGAGCTGAACCTTTTCTTTCTTTTAATACAGAGTAGTTGCTGAATATTCTACCACTGGTCAAAATGATCTGCTCTTATACATGACAGTATTGACTCAGGTACACCGGAAAACCGTGTACTTGCTTTTTTGTATATGAATCTCCAAAGTCTGCTGTAGAATTGGCTAACTGGTAATGATCATATATGGCCAATGGTTCAGTTTCTGTAAAACTTTACTTTAGTGAAAGTGGTTATTCTTTAGCAGGACTTTGGTTGTCAGAGCAGGCTGTAAGGGCAGATCTTTAGAAGCTGCTTTACTTAAAGCTGTAGTAGTAATGATCACACCTCAGTGACTTATACTTAGGTGTATGGCTCATCATTTATTGTAGTAGAGAGTGAGTTTCTTTTCTATTCCCCCTTGGTTTTTTTTTTTTGGTACCCAGGGACTGAACTTGGCACCTTGTGCTTGCAAGGCAGGCATGGTGCCGCTGGGCTAAATTCCTGGCCCCCTCCCCCTTGGTTTTTGACAGAGGTAATGTTTTTCTTTGGTCAATCATAAGCATAACATTTCATTTTCCTATAGGTAAATATTTACCGCTTAGTTACAAAAGGAACTGTGGAAGAGGAGATCATAGAACGGGCCAAAAAGAAGATGGTATTGGACCATCTGGTTATTCAGCGCATGGATACCACTGGCCGGACTGTCCTGGAAAACAACTCTGGAAGGTCCAAGTAAGTGCTAGAAGGAAGTAAGTGCTTTGAGGAAGTAGGCAGAAGGAAACTGATTTTATGTGAATATTTGCTGTAGTAGTAGTCTGTTCATGACCTGACAAAAGCCAGGCCATATCCCAAGAAGGGTGGCACTTTCATTTTTTTCTGCTTTCCTTGTTTCCTCTTTTTTGCCCACAGCCCTCTGTTAGTGTGGTCTTCCCCTTGTTCCTTATCCCCCGCCCCTGCTCATGGCTCCTCATGTGACCTGTCACCACACAGTGGCAACAGTGGTACTGTGTGTTGAGTTTCAGCCCAGCAGAATGTTGCCTTTGACTTTGCAGCAGTGACTCCACCAGACTGAATTGGCAGACTGGGTTTTACTGCTAGTAGAAACATTTGAGTGGAGATTGTTGTGCTTTTCCTCTTGATAACAGAAGGATGTAGAAAGAAAGGGGTTATGAAAGAAGAGGGGTTTATGTTTTGATCAGATTTTTGACAGCTGTACCATGTTTAAGGCGAGGTGAAATGAGTCGTTCTTAAACAGCATGTTTTCAGATCATTTTCCATTCAGGAGGAATGTAAATGAGAAAAGCTTAGCTCTTTTTCATTTTGACTAGAGGTGAGAGGGTTGAGACTGGGGGGATGATGATTTTCTGCATCAAAGGGCAGAGGAACTGTGTTCTGTGATGTTGCTAAGCTTGTTTCTTGCTTACCCATGAAATAGATGAGCCAGCAGGACAGTAATTAAATTTCTCAGCTTCTGCTAAGTTAGCTTTACCACCACCAACTCATGTTGTGCATAAAGAATAAGACAGTAGAGGAATCACTTTTCTTGAGGCAGAATTTATCTTTTCACCAGTTATTTGACTTCTTTATGAAGGTCAGGTATTCGGAAGTACAACTCTTCAGAGCTTATGTGACATTCCTAATAGATTACAGCTACATTTCACTTCTACAGTTCAAATCCTTTTAATAAAGAAGAGCTGACAGCTATTTTGAAATTTGGAGCAGAGGATCTCTTCAAAGAACTTGAAGGGGAGGAGTCAGAGCCTCAGGTAATTAAGAATGAGGGGAAACATTTTTTTTGAAGTGTCATCTATGAGAAAAAATTTTTGTTATTTTTGGTTTTTTTGAGACAGGGTCTCTCTGTGTAGTTCAGGCTGGCCTGGAGCTCACTGTGTAGCCCAGGCTGGCCTCAGACTCACAGTCATCCCTGTGCCTCAGCCTCCCAATTGCTGATATTACAGGCATGTGCCAGCATGCCTGGCTATGAGTAATGATTTTTGGGGGAAGGTCTGTTAGAGGCTTTTATAAGGAAAAAGTAAATATTTGCAGGGACATAATTGTTTCAAAAAGTCAAAGCTCTTACTAAATTGAGAAGGAAAAAATGAATAAAGCATTTAAAAATTCTGTCTTTGTTTTTCCTCTTAATTTTTAAGTTTCACCTTATCGTTTAAATAAATGGTAGACTGAGGCAGATGAAAAGGATATAGAACAGAAACTATAAGAATAAAGAAAATCAGAAAGTTGGTTTATTTGTATCTAACATTTTCAGTAAATGCTGAAGATTGTTGCTTTTCTATCACATCCTTGTTGTTTTTTTTCTTTTAGGAAATGGATATAGATGAAATTTTGCGCTTGGCTGAAACCAGAGAGAATGAAGTATCAACAAGTGCCACCGATGAGCTTCTGTCACAGTTTAAGGTATGAAGGTCTTTGTGAAGCACTCTCAGCCGATTCCTTATTAAGTACTCATATCTCCAAGCACATGCTTTGTGCTAGACTCTCTGTTTTTCCTTTTACATGAATTGGCTCATATCCTCAGTGGCATTCTGAGTTACAAGTACATTGTGAGTGAAGTCTGTGGTCCTTCCCAGGAAGGTAACCACTGAAGTTGGCCATCCTGGCCAGAGTCAGCATGCAAAGGAAAAGAAGTGGATAAAGAGGGCTGAAGATATGTTGTTAGAGGGCTAGGTGGAGAATGAGAAGTGTGGAGGAATGTGGGGCACATGAATGAGACGCCAAGGAGATGTCCAAGGTGTGAGAACAGTAGGTGACAACTGGGAGACTATTAACTTGGTGACCTTTTCAGTTTTACTTTAGTTTGTTTGTTTTTGTAAAAGGAGATAAAGGGTGGTCAGTGGTGACCGATAGAATGAATTGAGATCAGGGATGAGCATAGGATGTGGTACCTTTGAATATAGATATTATTAAAAGGCTTAGGGAAAGTAATTTAATGGACATAAAGGGACCAAGGCCAGATATCAGAAAGATGTTAGCACATTTCTAGGTTGACCAAAGGACTTTGAGAATAGGGAAATATTGAAGGTTTTAAGGAAAGAAGATTTGGTGGTACACTGCCCTGGGGGAGAGTGGAAGGGATACAACAAAAGCATAGAGGGAAGACTTGGCTTTGGATAAAGGAAGCAATCACTTTAGAAAAGAGAAGAGAAGATGAGGGAATTCAGTTTGTGATGTTAATTACCAGTAAGGTAGTGGAAAAGATTTGGGGGAGCCATGGGTGGGGCTGGGACTTGTGGGGGGAAACTCGATAGGGAAACTCGATCTCAGCCAGATGATACTGCTTTGTTGTGCTACCAGTCAGCAAGATCGTATGACTTTCTCCAGCAATACTTGAGATCAGAGAAATTAGATCAGTTGGTGATCCTTAGGAAGGAGGTTGGCTAGGGAGATAGGGGAAGTCAAAATGGCAGAGGTCTCCAAGACTCAGGTTGATTCCATGCAGTTGAGGAGGAGGAGCAGGAGAGCCCTGGAGTTACAGTGATGGGCACGTGCAGCAGGCCCAAGAGGACTGAGGGACATGTGGCAGTGTGTTCGGAAGGAAGGAAGCATGTTGTGTGCTGTGCTCCATGGTTGGCAACAGGTCAAAGTTGTCTCGAAGAACAAAGAGGAAGTATAGAGGGTGGGGGTCCCTGAGCTCAAGGAACAGAGTTCACATGTGTAGAGGTAGAAAGGGACAAAGGTAGATTATTGGTCTTTGTCAGTTTGGGCTGCTGTAACACTGCTGTAGACTGAGTGGTTTATGTCAGTAAGAGAAATCTGTTTCATATTCTGGAAGGATTCTGAGGTCAGGGTGCCACTATGGGGAGATTCTGGTGAAGGCTGTCTTCTGGGTCACAGACTGCTGTAAATAAACGTGAAACAGTTCTGTGCAAACCGAGCTTAAGGTTTCACAAAGTCAGAGGACAAAGTCACAGACCAAAAGGAAGACGTTAGGACAGTATTTATTGGAAATAATAATAATAATTCTTGGTTTTTCCAGAAGGGGTTCCAAGTGGGTGGCCACATAGCCCCTCCATCCAGAGCTACTTATGGATAAGTGGAGCATGGGAGTCATATCTAAAGCAATTACAAACAGTGCTTGATTTGAGAGGATGGTCAGATGATTTTTTGGAACAATGTCAGAAATTTTATCTCATTTTTGTCATGGATTTTTTTTTTCTTTTTTTTTTTT